TATACTAAGTCCTCCAAGGGCACATGACAAGGCTTCTTCAATAATATTATTCTTGGGTGCTTCTTGATTCTTTCCTTTGCTCTTTTCTACATTCTCTTTATTCTCCACTTCTATATTCTTTCTCATCCACTTGATCAACATAAGACCACATAGGTCCAAGATGAAGACGAGCCCAAGAATTTCCAAAATTGGCATACATTGTCTCCATCCAAGTCTTGTAATCCTTGGAGGCTCTCAGATTACTGCCATCATCAGATGCAAAAAATTTGCAGTTGAAATCAAGTAACCCAAATGGCATTTGGTTTACATTCAGACGTGCTGAGGATCCATCTTCACGCATAATGCCAAGTGATTTGCACAAGTTAAAAACAATATTATCCTTATTGTTCCATTTCAAGTGATCCATAGCTAGCAGAGACAGTTCAATAAAATTGGAAGGAATGAAATGCTTCAGATCTTCACTAAAATCATTTTCGGCAATAAAGGAATAAATAAATGTTGCAAGTTGCATACGTTGAATTGATGACATTTTGCCAAGATTTTGCACAATCAAAGTCATAAGGTCTCCGTGAAGTTCTTCATGTTCAAACTCAGCAGAATCATTTCTGGCCTTTTCCATCTCATTAGCAATTTACCAAACTCTTTAGCACATTACCTTTTATATTCTGACTGTTGTCTTCTATACTTTTGCTCCATTTTTCACCACATTTTAACAACAAAAGCACATTACTAGACTCCAGAAATGGCAGTGATTTGTCATCCACTTCAGTGCCATCATTTTCTATTACCAAATGATCACCCCCTCATAGCCAAATTTTCTGCTCCCTTTAAATAAATGTGTATAACTATAAACAGCCATACTGGAAAGTTCATATGTTGTGCCAAAGATCTTTGGTGTGCAGAAATTATATATGCGGCAAAATTTGGCGCATAATTAGCTTAAAATCTGAATGTTCTCGTTTTGGCGTGGCGTGACAGCGTGAATGACACATATGTACCAGATTTTGGGGCAACTAGAGCTTGAAAGAATAAAAAGTTGAAATTCACGTACTTACATAAATGAAAAATTTTCCCGCTGCAATATTTATTTGTTTCATTAATTGCTTCTGATGCTTCGGTGTTTTTCGACATATCGATATAAATGTTTTGAAAGTTTTGTTTTCAATATGGAAACTGAGTCAGGAGCCTGAACAGATAATTTAATATTTAAAGTATGTGGTCAACACAATTTTATTATTTATCTTTGAGCCGAGTATGTTCACGTGTAACACGATATAACATGAATTCCCATGTGTAATACACTGAGTGGCCGCAGCCAGTGTCATAGAATGCCCTCATTGAAAATGCTGCCTTTTTCGTTTTTTTTTGGTTGTCGCAAGTGCAACTTTCCATTGCGGCATCGTGGGCTCAGGATTGCACAATTTAGCTAAAACATGCTCATGCATGCTGTCTTGTATTTAACTATGTTACAAATCTTAGACGCTGTAATTGTGGGACGTATTTTATTATATTCATTGCGCATGCGCTTGAATTTTTCTGTGTTTTTCGATATAATATCGCTGAACTCTGTTGGTTTTGTATGGACTTTTATTGTGCCGTCCTCTGAATGTGATCATGAAGTGACGGCCGTCAAGAAGCGAAGAACATCTACATGTTTCAAATTATTTTTTAGAATATTGCGATAGTTTAATTTTTTAGAATTTTGCAAGGATTTTTTAGAATATTCAGTTCATGACACAGGGTACAATTTAAGAAATTCTAAGACGAGATTAAATTTGCCCAAGCCACGAGCAAATTACTTAAAACGAAGCTTTTGTTATAGTGATGCCTACTTGTGGAACAGTCTTCCTCAAGATATACGAAAGCTTCAAATAATTCCACAATTTAAGAAAGCTGTAAATAAATATTATAATAATTCAAGTGAACTTCCACACGGCAATCTTGTAAACGAGTAGTAGATAATTTTTAGATTTTTTTATAATTGATGTGTGTATGTATAAATCCATAACTGTCTTATTACTCTTATAACAGTTAGATTATCCATGTACTGAAGATTGTACCGTGTTTAAATAAATTTGTATTCATTGATTGATTGCCACGAGGCCAGTGTGAACATCTGAGCAGGCGTCTTGTTTAACAAGTGTTTTCTGACCATCAGAATTCCGCAAAATCTTCCCCCAAAATCCAGGAAATATCATTTGAGAGACTCTAGATTAAAAAATTTTCCGGGGGAGAATGCCCAATGCTCGCGCCTACAGCGCTCGCCTCTTCCCGTTCTCTCGTGCCCGCGAATACCGCCTGTTACGCAGGCTAGTGCTTGCCTTGTGTCTCCACCAATCTCATTTGGCACACGTTAGTATCGCTGGAAGAACTTTTTTGGCGTGCAATGTTTTGGTTAAAATTGCGGTGCAAAATCTTTGGCGTGCGAAACACAAACTTTCCAGTATGGATAAACAGTATGACATTCTTGGCACACACTATGTCCAATGACCTGTGCAGACATGAATGAAGCAAAGGTATCCTCATTTTTACTTCTCAACATTACATGTTTTTCTGCTTCCTTTACAAACTTGTGTAAATGATATTACAAAATAATGATGAATGTATCGTTTGGAAAGATATGCACTTGGAGCTTTATTAGTGGCTGAAATTCCAAGTATTTGTTAAAAACCTCTTTAAACAGTACTTGACATAGCAGTTACCTATAGCCTTAGCATTAGCTAAATGGCTAAATTAAAACAAATTAAAAATGTACAATGCTGACATGCTGTTGCCCAAGTAGTTATACAAATATTTAAATTACTGTTGAAATGAATGTCGCCCCATATTTTATATGGCATAGGCCATAGCTGCTTCTTTAATATGCTAGTCCGTTATTTTTCTAAAACCAAATAATAAAATCATGAATATTTTTGTTTTATAAATATATTTAAGAAAGGAATTAAACAATAAAAACATTTAATTTAATAATTATTTTGGTAAAAACTTACCTTTTCAAGTAACTCCATATATAAGAGGTCGCCACTATTGTAACACCAAACTTTAAATGCCCTAGCCTTTATTAATTGAAACGAGAATAAAATTATAAATTTTTTGTGCTGTTTAAAATTATGCAATCAAAATGGATATAATTTTACGCAGGTAGCCAACAAAGGGAGCATTTATAGAATACCCGTCCATTTATCAAGTTATACTTGTTATCATGGTATGATGATACAAAGTGAAATGAAGCGACGTAATTATTATAAATGTGTGTTATTTATTAAGACTGGGCAAGGTATATTTTTCAGTGATACAATGATACAAAGTGAAATGAAGTGACATAATTATTACAAATTTGAGTGTTCTTTTGAGAATGAGGAATACACTATAGTAGTGAAATTTTGCATTAATTTCACTTTGTATCATCGTATCACTAAATAACAGGAATTTATAATAATTATGTTCTTTAATTTCACTTCGTATCACTGAAATAATACCTTGCCCAGTCCTAGTAAATGACGCGATTCTGACGCGATGTCATTATTTTCACTTTGTATCACTGAAAAATATACCTTGCTTCTACTAAAATGATTATGTCATCCCGTTCACTTCGTATCATCGTATCACAAAAATAAAATAGTCACAAAAGTGGACAGGTATTCTATAATCTATAATCTTAATTACAAGTTATTATTTTTACAATATATTTACAGGTGTTTGAATGGCTTGTTCTGTGACATCGCCAATGCCCATGCACCTGTCAAATGTCTTCGTGTAAAAGGCACACAAGTACCATGGATGAACAGTAAGATTAGTGAAGCTATGCAAGATCGCAACTACCATCATCGCAAAGCCGTAAAGTCCAACAAAACCTATCATTGGAATATGTACAAAAACTTGAGAAACTTTGTTAATAAAGAAGTTAAATCGGCCAAGTCCAAATACTACTGCAAGCTAATTGAACAAAGTAAAGGTGACTCCGGCAGGATTTGGAAGGCAGTTAACGAAGTTTCATCACGCGATAACAAGAGCTCCACCCCACAGTACATTGTCACCGATGGAGTAAAACACTCAGACCCGAATCTATTGCTATTGCCCTTAACACTTATTTTGCCTCAGTTGGAAAATCCTTAGCTGCAAAGTTTACAACTGTCTCACAAACATTAACAGCAAGTCCCACTCCTGTCCCGGAAACAATGTTTGAACTTGAAGAAGTACAAGAATGCTATGTTCTTGCACAACTCCAGACTTTGAAGACCAACAGAGCTATCGGTTTGGACAAAATAAGCGCAAGACTGTTAAAATGTGCGTCTTGTTCAATCAGCAAGTCTGTACAAAATTACTTAATCTTTCCATCAAGAGCAACCATTTCCCAAAGATTTGGAAATGTGCTAAGGTCACAGCCCTATTTAAATCAGGTGAACGTTCCAATCCTACAAACTATTGTCCTATCTCTGTCTTGCCTACTCTAAGTATGATCTTAGAGAAAACCGTTCACTCGCAATTGTATAGCCACCTAATTACTAACAACTTGCTCACAAGCAAGCAGTTTGGATTTCAACAAAGGTACTCAACCATCATTGCCCTGACCAACTTTGCGGATGAAAGTCTGAGTAATATGGAATGTGGAAGGCTTTGTGGAGCTGTATTTCTAGATTTGTCGAAGGCATTCGATACAGTGGACCACAGCATCTTACTCCACAAACTTAAAGCGATGGGTGTGTCATCTAGCACCATAGGTTGGTTTGAGTCCTACCTGAGCAACTGGATGCAACAAACGTCTTGTGGAAATGAATTGTCAGACGCTCTTCCTGTCACTTTTGGAGTACCACAAGGGAGCATTTTGGGCCCACTTCTCTTTCTCATGTACATAAATGATCTGCCCAGTATTACCAATAAATGCAATGTTTCCTTGTATGCCGACGACACAGTCTTATATTGCTATGCCTCAGATGTCAATGATCTTAAAAAAAATCTTAATGAAGATTTACTCAAGTTAGCGATTTGGTTAAATGAGAATAAGCTGACACTGAATTTAAATAAAACTCATCAATGATTATAGGCAGTGATAGGAAGTTATGTAATATATCTTTGATATCTGTCTCTGTCAACAATACTGAAGTCTCCAACGCCAGCAATTTCAAGTACTTAAGAGTCACCATCACAGCCAACTTCACCTGGTCAGAACATATAGATTGCATTTCCGCTAAAGTCAATCAACGCCTAGGTCTACTTCGTAGGATTAAACACCTGCTACCATTTAATGCACGAATCCTTTTTTATAACAGTCTCGTACTCCCAGTCTTTGACTATGCGGATGTTATATGGGGAGACAAAAATAATACAGTGTTAATGAACAATCTTCAGATACTCCAGAACAAAGCCACCAAGACTGTTTTAGATAGACCATATTTTTCATCGGCAACAGACGCGTTAAACACTTTAGGCTGGACCACTCTTGAACAATGCAGATTGTATCATAGATGTTTATTTGTTTTTAAGTGTCTAAATAATCATACTTCACATGGATTTGAACTTCTAGCGAACAGAGAAATACACAACTACAATACGCGATATAAGAACAATTTAAGGCTACCTAAAGTGTCAAGAAATTGGGGAAAGCAAAGACTCGCTTATCAGGCCATAACAGACTGGAACAACTTGGACAGAAAGATCAAACTATCTACTAGTATTTCTACATTTAATAGAAACTTTTTTAGCAATCTTTGAACTTTCCCTCATATATATATTTTTAATATTTTTCATAGTAATGTAGTATATGCATGTCTTCCTTGTATAATAGTTTATTTAGTTCAGGACCTTTCTGAAAATCACTTTGTGAGAAAGCTTCCTGAAATTAAATATTAATTAAAAATATATATATATATATGGATTTTGCCCAGAACCTAACATGAAGTATACTTTATTTGATAAACTTGGTGAGCACTTCCTTGACAAAGCAATTGAATTTGTTAAAGCTGGCCATAGGTTTGTATATGTTATCGATGCCATTGATTGGGAGGTCAAAGTTCATGATACGAGGCAAAACAACCAAAACAAAAGTATGCATGCCATTGCTACAAGCATTGTATTTGACCGTGTTTCATCTGATCACCTACCAAACACTGGTCCTCCAACAAAGTTGGCTACAAGTAAATTTTCTGATGTTATCAAGATCACTGACAAATAAACTATTAGAAAATCATTGAGAGTAATTGTTGCAAAACTTTTAATTGGATTGTTCAGATCATTTCATTCCTTCAAAGATGTGATACCAGAACAACAAAGTGTTACATATTCAAATGAAATGATGGAACAGTCATGTGTAGTAACAATGCCCATTATGATGAAAGTTGAAAAAAGTACTCAGAGTGCATTGACATTTGCACCAACTTGAGACCTGGACATTTGCAGCAGGCCTTTGTGATTCCAGTGATAAGCCACCAACATCCAGTGGCGTAGCCAGCCAGACCATTTGGTCATGCTATGCAAATTTCAAATCACCATTATTCATTTCTTTAGAAATTGATTGCTTTCACAGTTGTTGAACACGGAAAGATTTGCATAGCATGACCAAATTGTCGGACCATGCTCATTCCAGACCTGATCAACCTGGTTCCCATCTCCCACCAATTACTACCAAAGATGATCCTTTGACCGGAGTCCGTATTCCCTGTTTTGGTGATCAGCTTACACATATCAGGTTTGCTGGTGTCAAAGATCTTAGAGCTGGTTGCCACAATCCACGAGACAGGCTTAACCATGTTTACCTGTTTCATATTGTTGACTTGCACACAAAACAAAGCTTTTTGAAGGTAAATCAGTGATGCTGAAATTGTTGAATGAAATATTAAAAAATATTATAGAAGACAAAGTACACCTAAATTAGTTTTAATTGTTGAGAAATGTGCCAAACCTCATTGTAAGGTTTGTAGCCTACATAGTGAATGTATCAGGGGGGGGGGGGGTTCTTGCCAACTTGACAACTAAAATCATTGCCTTTTTATGTAGCTAAGAAAATTTTGTTATATAATACCAGTCAATGATTTGTGAGGACAATTTTTTACATATATTAAAGAAATATGAAATAACAAAAGACAAAAAGGTTATACATAGGTACCTAGTTTTCAGACATATCAAGGCCAACTAAGTCATCATGTACAGTGCACTGAGGGGATGAACATGCCTCCTTGCATACACTACAGCATAGATGTGGTGGTCCCAGGGATTGTGGTTCTTCAGCATCAAGAAATTTCAGCAGCATAACCCTTTAGCAACTTTCATTGTTGCGACAATAATCCCTTACTTCATCTTGCATTTGCCATTTGTTTTTGCCAATATTTTTATTGTTATAATACAAAGTTGTTTTAGATGGTTTGCCATCTCTTCCTGCCCTACCAACCTCTTGAAACAATTCATGTATTGTATATGGTGGACTTATATGAATGATGTTGCAAATTGATGGAATATCAACCCCCATATACCCACAGCCACTGTTTTGCAAATACCACTCTAACTTTAGATGTAGATAGTCTCAGCTGTTTTAGTAGTTGATCTTTCATACTATTTGTTTGTGGTGTGTGATACTGGGCAAATAACCTGTTTTCAGGCTTTGCATCAGAACTCTCTGGGAAGTATTGATTAACTCCAAGTATGTATTTGAATAATCGGTATGCAGATCCACACCATTTAAAGTGTCCCTGTCAAAAAATGAGAGTTTATATCTTCGAAATCTATGATACAAAATATACGGAAATTCGAAAACGGAATTGAAATTGCTTTTTAGTGTAAAAGTTATTGCCGTTTAAACATTGAATTTGGCCTTGTGAAAAATCTGAAAACCGTGCAAAAGGGACTGGGACGAAACAATGCGTGCGACGTAATAGTAGGAACTTATGTAGCTCACTAATATAGAAATACTATTGCATGTACTATCATAGAGGAGGCAATAGCGCAAATAAAAGTCACGAAACTGAAAAATTGCCGAATATATGTGTAGTAGGCGGTTGTTCTAATGTCACAGATACAGAGTAAGGCATTTCACTTCATTTTATACCTTTTACTGGAGGCGAGATGCACTAAGCGAAAAGGACACAGGGATTGACTTCATGCACCTTAATTTAAACCAGCAATATGAGATCCAATGTTCAGCATACTTTGCGAAGATAGAGCTTGCTGGTAAAACCACGGTTAGCTACCGATGAAATTGGTTTCGTTGCAATTCCAAAATATACAAATACTGTCGACGACAAACCTTTGTCTGCGAGAGCCAAGAGAATGGTATATGTATAATTTGTACTCTAATTTCATTTATCATGCACTTGAATATGGCCTAGGGCAATTTTTATTCCAAATTCGTTATTTGAAGCTGCTTCGGTCAGTCAACCGATATGGTCATAGTCACGAAACTGGAAAGTGCGATAAATATAAATGAGCCACAGCCAATGGATTCACCAGAAATATCGCGACAATATAGCTATGACTATGAGTAAATATGGTCAAAATATAGCTGATGAAAGCCAATTTCTTACGTCTACAAGCAATGTGCACTGTTTGAATTTTAGTTTAGACAGGGAAAGTAGAATTGTACGCATAAGTAAACTTGACGCAGTAAATTATACATATATACACTCGTTGTGTTTGCACCGCAGTGAAAACCCATACAATATGCAGATTTTGTAACAAATTTTGGCATGAAACCAGATACACTGCGGGGGTGTATATAAAATGTATTACAAAGTATAATCCATTGAATCAACTTAATGAAATAACTTGGTCATTGCCACATTTGCTATAGTATAAGGCATTGCCTGGAACGAAATACAAGTCAGAAAAATTCCTAAACGTGCTGCAACACTTTGTACAAATTAACCCGCGCACACGAAGTGCAGAAAAACATCAGATACAAATCTTAATCTCAAATTTCAGTCTCTTTGGCAAAACAATATTGAAGTCATGAATATAGCAAATGTGCTGTTTCTATATGCAATACAGTATAATATTACCACGTTTATACAGTGTAATAGGTTTATTTATTGAAAAATAGTTATATAATATCAAGAGCTGTTCTCTACAAATCCTACAAAGTCTTCATCAACAGCAGGCATTATTTTCTCATATGCACAAAAATGTCTATTTCCTAGTTGTCCATAAACCATCCACACAAAGTTTCTACATGCTGTGCTCCTTCAGAATCTATAAATTAATAAATAAGTATTTTTAATAAGTCGCTTACTTGCATGTGAACACATGTAAATATATAATAATGCAATAATTGTACAGTATGTACCGTATATAAACTCTCAGTTACCATACCGCATGCATGCGTGTGTTCACTGATAGTAAACTCGGGTACAGTAAAGTGTTTCTTAATTTCAATATGTTGATAAATAAAACTTTATTTACCTATCTTCTGTGCTTGTTTGACGGTATTCCTGTTTCTTTCTTGTTCGTAATTTCGTGGCTGCTGAACGGAGAGCTCACTTATCTAGCCATAGCTGTTGAATTATACTGTTGATGGCACGACTTCAGCTTCTTGCATCACAAATCACAGTGTCACTGTGTAGAGAATCAACGCACTCCTCAATTTCCATACAACATTGTCACTCCTTAGCATAATTTACAAAGCAGTTCAATGCGACAATTGCCACGTTTACACGTGAAATATTATAGTTTGTAATTTACAACACAAGGTCAAGTCACGCAACAAAATCAGAGTGAAATATTTACCATTTACTCAATTCTTCTGAACTATCAAGCCTTTGTTGTAATTGCTTAAGACGTTCATTGTGATTGCTTTTTTTCGCGGTAACTTTTCAGCCATCTTTGTCGGTCACTGCATGGTTCATTAACATATGGATCAAGCAGCGCCGATCATTTGTGTGCACGACGTTGACCATGCTTCACTGGTGTTTTCATCGATTTCACTCGATTTGATACGGCCCAGGAATATAATTTCAGGCAGTCATCGCTTTGGTAACTGTTATTTTCCTTATCTGAACTCGACGAAGACATTTGTATCGAATTTTGACCAGCTTGATTGTGATTCTCACTTAG